CTGCCTGTTCAGAATCACGTTAAAGATTCTGCGTCATTATTCCAAAAGAAAATGTTTTCTCCTGAGGTCTTGGCCAACAAACCCCCAAATAAAATTGATCACTTGCTTCATGGCTGTTTGTGGGACAACTCTGAGTGCAAATGGGGTCCTGCACTTGCCCATAAAATGCACACTTTCTAAACTTTACAGTATATCCTGCAGCTTTGAGAAATCCTGCTGATGTGAAAGGCGCTATATCAAATTTTAGAATTATTATTAGTATTGATTCACACACACACACTTCTGATGTAATTTAAATACTATGTGTAAAATCAACAAGAGTCAAATTAGGAAGTCCAAAGATATTCAGAGAGAAGTGGTTATGTTAACGTATAAGCCAGGAACCAGGAGATCCAAAAGAGAATTTAGGAGGAACTACTTCATACAGAAGGCAGTAAGATTGTGGAACTCACTACCCAGAGTGCGGGTGAAATCAGAGAGTATAGATGCATTTAAGAGGAAACAGGATATTCACAGGGAGAAGGAATTACAAGGGTGTGGGAGGAAGTTTTCAGTGGCTAAAGACTTGTATAGTGTATAAACACCAACACAGACTAGTTGGGCCAAATGGCATGTTTCCGAGTTGCACAAACTATTAGTTCATGGGAGCACACTATGGCTCTGCACTGTGAGAAACACTGCGGATGTGGGAGAGACACTGCGGATGTGTGGGAGAGACACTGCGGATGTGTGGGAGAGACACTGCGGATGTGTGGGAGAGACTTGGGAGTCCTGTAGCTCAGTGGTTAGAGCACTCGCTTTGCAAGTGAGAGACCTGGGTTCAATTCCAGGCAGGGCGAAACCTTGGGCAAGTTTCCTTACTCCACACGCCTAATAATAATCCCTCCAAAAAAACAAAAACAATAATACATTGGTCATTTTCAATCCATGACTGTTTGTGGGACACTGCTGTGCGCAATTGGCTGACGCGTTTGCCTACAAATATACAGTCAATTCACTTTACAGTATACTCCGTGAAGCGCTTTGGGATGTCGAGAAGACGTGAAAAGCGCTATATCAAATGCAAGGATTATTATTATTTATTATTACTGCGGATGTGTGGGAGAGACACTGCGGACGTGTGGGAGCACCTCTTACCCATCTGAACGTGCAGGCACCTCTTTTACAGTAAAGAAAGCCCCGACCACCACCCCACCCCCCCCTTTATAAACACTCTAAAATTGATTTAAAAAATTGTTAAAGATAAAACCCGAAAAATCTAATTAATGAACCTTGAAAATAGGAAGCCCTAATTATACTAGAGATATCCCAAGATACTATAATCCCCTGATACATTGTACTTCAGATATAAAAGACACTAGATCATTTCCAGTACATTTGGAAACAATCATGATTCAAAATACCAAAAAAAATTAAATTCTGCATACCCAGAAACCCATTGTTCTCTATTTCACCGGCATTAGAAAATGCTGTAAAACTCTTCCAACGTAACTACCTCAGGTCAAACTGAGCCGGACACACCAGGAAGAAGAATCTTGGTTCAAATCTCTGGCTCTGCAAGTTAGTTGATGTCGGCTGGGTTTGCAGCTTTTTGCTGCAGCATCCTTTTGCTATAGTGGCTCATGGCGGAAAACATATGTCCATTTCAATATGTAGAAATGAGGCTTACTCTGTCGCCTGCCAACAAAAATAATTGACATTTCTATACTACCTTCAACATAAACAAATGCCTCGAATTCTTCACAATTTTTCAATAATTTGAAGTGAACTGAATGCTGTTTGGAGGTAGGTGCAGCTGCCTCCTACACCAGCAATGTTAACATAACATAACATGTAGGAGCAGGAGTAGGCCATTCGGCCCTTCGAGCCTGCCCCACCATTCAATCATGGCTGATCTTCCAATCTAACTCCAGCTAATAACATAACCTTGCCTTATCCCCATATCCCTTAATCCGTTTTGCAATAAGAAATATATCTACCTCAGTCTTGAATATGTTCAACAGCCCTTTGGGATAGCGAGTTCCATACATTCACCACCCTTTGAGTAAAGAAGTTCTTCTTCAACTCAGTGCGAAAGAGCTGGCCTCTGAATTTAAGGTTGTGACCCCTGGTTTTAGTTTCTCCAACCAGGGGAAACAATCTCCCACTATCTACTCTATCATGCCCTTTGATGATCTTACAGGTTTCTATAAAATCCCCTCTAATTCTTCTACATTCTAGAGAATATAGGCCCAAATTGGTCAGCCTATCCTCGTAACTCATCCCCTTCATCCCTGGTACTAACCTAGTAAATCTACGCTGCACCCCCTCCAAGGCAAGTGCACCCCCTCCCAGGCATTTGGAATTCAGATTGATTGCTTCTTGTCTAAATGTTCCACAAACAACTAGACAAGAAGCAATCAATCTGAAATCCAAATGAATTTAGATGAGGAGAAATCCCTCTTTAAAGCAGGGGTTAACTATCTTTTACCTGAACACAAGTGTAGTGAATGGTGTTACGTGGTCATTCATTTAGTTTTTACTTTGTGTATAATTAAATGTAAATGACAATATTCCTGCTTCTTCCTCCAGAATGGAACAGCCAGCCAGCCTGCTGACAGTCACTGTTTAGACTCCCACATGAAGAATGGTCACTTGGGAGAGGGCGGCTAGTGCTCTGTGGAACCGTACCCAAGCAACAGTAAGTGGCTGCAAAAAACACTATATTAACAAGAGTGAAAACCCAAATCAATGTGGATTCTGCACTTTCCGAGTTCAATCTCTAATACTAAACCACAAACATTTTTGCATTGAATTAACTCAATCTTAATCCTAAAATACCACGGATTTGCTGAGGTTGCAGCCTTGTACTTTGTAACAACAATGGACAATGTTATAGTTCTGGTTCTTATTCATGTTGTTGTTAGCAGGAAATAATAATTTTTTGGGAGGGTATATACAGTCTTATCACAGTTATAATTTCAGCCCAAGGTTACAATAATTGTTTATCTATGCACAAAGGAAGCACAGCCAGAATGCTCTACATATTCCCACACTATAATCATACATAGTCTACACTCAATTATATCCTGTGCAGCAATTCTCATCTTTCACCACACAACAAATCAAAGATAATGTTTATGGAGTTTAAATGTAATCAGACGCTTACTGGGAATCTCAGAAGACCACATGTTTTCTCTAAATGTTTCATGCATTAATCTTTAAAAGGATCCCTGATCCCCGTCTTGTTCTTACTCAGCATTATACAAATGTAATAGATACTTATGTAGGTCAAAAGTAACTGTGTAATGGCCAATAAATGAAGCGATTTCAGTTCATACCCACAGCAGTTCAAAGGCTGTTGTCTGCAGTCCAGTTCCTATGCTGTCAGACAGCTGGGATCACACAGCCTTTGTCTGCTTTCCAGTTAAAGACAAACCTTTGTTTCTTTCTTGGATTCTAATTTCTACACAAGGAAACCTACTTGTTTTAAAAGTAATAAAAGTTGTTGCCGGTAGGAAAGAGCCACAAATCCCAAAGCAACTCCAGAAGATTTACTGTTTCCCGTGGCACTATAATACAGCTGAAGCATCTCTACAGAGAATAGTGGCATTGAGAGTCGTTGAAACTCATCATTGCTGCCACACAAGAGTGCGCGTTTGATGATGGCACGAATGGGATTAAGGAAATACGAAGACTTACGAAGTTATTAACCGTGAAAGCGTAACCACATTTAAATAAACCACAAAGATTTATCCTTCCCATTGTTCACCAGGTCACAAGTTGACCATTTCATACATTCATACCACCATAAATGCACAAACATCTAGTCTGTCGACTAACTTCTTCAATCAGTTCACTGTGCGCAATGCAACATTATGCATGTTTCTAAGGTCACCTTTATCAACCGGACTGAATGATAATTGTTTCTCTTAATACAGAACGCAGCTCTTCGGGCAAGTGCCCCTTTTGTAGGAATGTGTGAGCGCAGTGATAATGTAATGTCCTCTGCTGGTGCGGGGAATACATGCGCTGTTGTACAATTGTGGTACAGTCATTGGCAAGACAGCCACAACATTAGCACGTTACCAAACTTGTATTGATGCATGTTCTTCACACATACAGCATCCATTGTAAGGCTTTCCAAAAAGATTACATAATTCCCCCCCCCCCCCCCCCCACCCCTCCCCTCACAGACATGCTTTGAGGCTCTCAGCTGCAAAAAAAAAATGCCAATCCATCTCCCATCACATATACCCAAACATCTACATACATATACACACACACACACACACAAGTGGCTCAGGCTCCTTACACATACACCTCCCAAACCGACTTACATCCTAACCCCCCACTACCCCATCCAAAAAAGCAGCTCATAAACAGTACCCACCTATTACAAGAGAGAGGGGAGAGAGGGGAGAGAGAGAGAGAGAAACAGCAAGTGAAGTCCAGAGGGGCAGCTCATTCCTGAGCAGTGAAGCCGCTGCTCATTCACCAACTGAAAACAAAAGGCACTGCAGACAAAGGCGCAGGATATCCCCCCCAGAAAACTGCGGGCTCTCTGTATTTGGTCAGGGAGAGGGAGGGGAGGGGGTGGAGGGGAGGGGGTGGTGGGGAGGGAGGGAGGGAGGGGAGGGGGTGATGGTGAGGGAGGGGGGGAGGGAGGGAGGGGGTGGTGGGGAGGGTGGGGAGGGGGTGGTGAGGGAGGGAGGGGAGGGGGTGGTGGGGAGGGTGGGGAGGGGGTGGTGAGGGAGGGAGGGAGGCAGGGAGGGGGTGGAGGGGAGGGGGTAGTGAGGGAGGGAGGGGAGGGGGTGGTGGGGAGGGGTGGTGAGGGAGGGAGGGAGGCAGGGGAGGGGGTGGTGGGAGGGGGTGGTGAGGGAGGGAGGGAGGGAGGGAGGGAGGGGAGGGGGTGGTGAGGGAGGGAGGGAGGGAGGGGAGGGGGTGGAGGGGAGGGAGGGGGGAGGGAGGGGAGGGGGTGGTGGGGAGGGGGTGGGGGGCAATTGCTTAGAATAAGATACCTGGCAAATGGAAGCTGGAGTCGTCTCGAAGCCGACTTGTTGTGCTTTTATTCTACTGTTTCCAGTCTGTTCACGTTGACAGATGCTCAGAGCTCTCTCTCCCTCTCCCCCTCTCCCTCTCCCCACGACCTGAGACTCCAGCCTTGCAACCAAGGCGCCCGCACTGCGCAAGCGCCACTTCCACTCTCTCTCTCTCTTTCTCTATTTCTCTTTTCTATTTCTCCCCCAAACAACAATCACAAAAGTTTAGAGAAACAAAAAGTGAACTTTGGTCAAACTTTTCACATGGTGTGAGGGAGAGGAGCAGTGGGGGTGGGTGGGGTGTGTGTGTGTGTGTAGGAGGAGGAGGAGGACAAAGTTTAAACTTTGTTTAAACATTGATTTTTGGCAAACATGGGGCAAAGCTGAATATTTTCTTGCAGATCTCTCAGTGAGAAGGGGGAAACAACAATGTTTTTGCTATCTCATGCCTTTCAGCATGAAATGCCTGAGAGCATTGCCAGTCTCATGCTCTTCGTGGAGCCCCAATGCTCCCAACAGATCAGGGACTCTTCAAACAAATATTCCATTTATTCAGTTGGAACAAGGAACTTTTAGCATTTTGCTTTTGCTTTTGCTTGTTGTGAGTATTTATTGTTTGCGTGGTCTGGTAGGTGAGTCAGCGACGAGAGGGCATCAATTTAAAATAATTAGCAAACGGGGAGATTAGAAGAAATGTTCTTTTTTTACGCACGCACAAAGAACGGTTAAGGTACGGAATGCCCTGCTGGGAGCAATTGTTGAGGCAGAATCCTTATTAGCTTTCAAAAGGAAATTAGACAAAATAGCTTAGTAAGTAAACTACAGGAGTATGGGGAAATAAAAATAGAAGTCGCTGGGGACACTCAGCAGGTCGGGCAGCATCTGTGGAAAGCGGAAAGTGGGTTAACGTTTCAGGTCGATAACATTTCGTCGGAACTCATGGGGTATGGGGAAAGGCAGGTAAATGGGACTGAAAGGATTGCTCATAAAAGAGCCAGCGCAGACATGATGGGCCGAATAGTTTCTTCTGTGCTGTAAATTGATATGGTTCTACGGGAGGACAGTGCAGGCAAATGGAAGATTACCATTAAATGAAGAGTGAATGTGTTTAAACAAGGCCCTTCCACACATAAAACTTTTATCTACTCCAACCACTCCTAACAAGACCAGTCGACGTGCAGTAATGTTGACAGCGCTACTCCAGTTTCTGTTGAGCTGAACAATCACATCCAAAGAAGTAGCAGGAGTACTACTGCATTGAATCTAAGATACAACAGTTGAAAAACAGATTTGTTGCTTTGATTGCGACATCCGCAATTTGCAAACTAATAGTCGCAGTTAACACAATAATCAAATTTGTAAATATGTGCAATGTTGTTCAGCAAGGCTTTTTCTGTTGACTGACATCTGGTGACACTTCCTGGAACTGCACGTTTACCACAACAATAACATAATTACATTTGTGTAGAGCCTTTCACATTGGGAAGACGTCCCAAGGCATTGGACAGTCAGAGTTTCGAACCCGAGCTGGGGGTCGCGATCGGGGAGAGTGGAGGGCAGGAAGGGGGAAACCAGGGTGATCGAAAGCACGGTCGAAGAGGAGGGTCTTGAGATGAGTCTTGAAGGAAGCAAGGGAGGGCGCGAGGCGGAGGGACTGCGGGCTGGAGTTCCAAAGGGTGGCAGAAGGCCCGCCCATCAATGTTGGGGCGGGCGAGGCAGGGGATGTGAAGCAAGCCGGCGCCCACTGAACGGAGGGAGCAGGCAGATTGGTGGGGGGTCAGAAGGTCATTTTGGGAGTGAGTTGCAAAGATTGAGGATATAGAGGTTGAAGGGCTGGCGACCAATGTTAGGATGGAATGAGTGACACGTGAACAAAGGTACAGGCAGAAGAGAGCTGGATGAGATGGCACACGTAGTTAAGGAACATAAAGGTAATTCAAAGTTAGGGCAATGATTTTAAAGTTAATGGGTTAGGTGGAACAGTGGAGCCTGACCAGGATAATGGGGGGAAGTGGGGGTAATAAGTGTAAAGCACTAGGCAACTATAGCTTTAGTTAGTGTGGGTATGTTTCCAAGCAGGCAATATGCCAGCTGAATATGGTGAAGACCACTGAGCCATGGAGTAGTAGGATGTAGATTGATTCCACACAATTATGCTGCTATTGGGAAGTTGCAGACAGAAGAAGCAGCCACAAAGATAGGGAAGAGTGATTTGGTGGCTTAATTACCATGGAACAGTCCCATGTGTTCTTCCCAGTGGTGACAATCAACATAGAATAAGCACCAATAAGTCTATCTATCTGCTTTCTTGGCCAGGGATCAGATAAGGATAAGAGAATATAACAAACACATGATGGAGAAAATAAATCGTAAAAGTAGCGAGGCAGGTGCACCAATAGCTCAGTTTGCAGGATGTGCTGGAGAAAGTTGAGGAGGGAAAGTAGAGAAAAGACAGAGTGGTGCACTTTGCTTGAACTTTCTTGAAACTACAATGGCTTACATCAAACATTATTTGAAATGTATTACCAGTTCTGCATTATGGAACTGTAAGTCTCTGTCTCCTCTCCCCATCCCTAAGATTTATCGTGCAACATATATGAAAACACAATGATCATTTTACAGGCTTCTTGTGCTGATCTGCTTATTTTTCAACTTTGATCTAGTACTATTGCTGAGGTTTTAAAATTTTCAATGCATTGGTTTAAAAATGGGAGTTTATCAGAAAACTTGGATTTTTTGTGTAAACGAATGTAATGTTCATGTGACCCTTTACAGGAGCTCAAAGTCTATTTGAGAAAGGAATGAACAAAGAGGCAACATAAGTAAAACCATTATCTTTGCTCATTAGAAATACACGAGTCTCTCAGGCACTGTGATGTTAAAAATCTGAGTTTGCAACACTCCACCCGTGTTGGTTATAGCAGATAATGACTGGTCTTAGAAGAATAAGAAAAATGAAAGCAGGAAATGCAATTATTCTACAATATTGTGATAAATGACAGGTAGACATCATACATCCTGTAATAAAGTTTGGGAACAAAGAGATCAATAGAAACACTCTATCTGAAATGGGTGTTGTGTATTTTTCAGCTCTTCCATCTGGTTTGATTCCAGCCCAGATTCATAGGGTAGTGTTCTAACTTCTCTTATTTTCCTTCTGGATCTAATCCTCAAAATATGCCCCTTTTTTACTGGCTTAATGATCCTTGTTTTCAATTAGATTTGGTCCATTGGTCTCCCAGTGCAATATAGCCTAATCAAGCCATAGCTAATATTGAGATTAAGTTTAAGAACAGCAGAAGCTGTCTTCCAAATTAAGAGTGAACTTGAAGAGTTTTCCACAATTCTGCACAATCTTAAATAAATGTTAAAAGCTAAAACTGCATTAAAGTTTCGGTCCACAAAATGTATGTGAGCTGGACCTGAGTCTGAAAGTGGGAAAGACGATGCAGGCAACTTTCTTGTTAAAAATTGGGGAGGGGTGTGAGGGTGGAGGGATGGGGGAGGAGAGGAAGTCCAGTTCAATTGTATTGTTCTTCTTTGAAAGATCATCGTTTTCTCTCGGTGTTAATACAACCCAAAGAAAGAAACTGAAGTTAAATATTGGACGCCTTCTTTTTGAGGTACTATTTGAACTTCCTTATTCAAAGAGTTGTCATCCAGAGAACAGAGCAGTACAACTCTTCACTATCCACTCACACCACTCCAATAATACAACATTTATAGAGCGCCTTTCACATCGAGGAGGACGTCCCAAAGTGCTGGACAGTCAGGGGTCAGGACCCAAGCAGGGGAGTGGGGAAGAGGGTGGCATAGGGGTGAGGGAAGGCAGAGAGGTGGAAGGGTGACCAAAGGCACAATCGAAGAGGAGGGTCTTGAAACCAGCCTTGAAGGAGGCAAGGGTGGAAGCGAGGCGAAGGAGCGAAGGAGTTCCAGGGTGTAGGGGCAGAGAGGCTGAAACCCCGGCCACTGATGGTAGGGCGGATAGGGCGGGAGACATGGACCAGGCCAGAGCCCGCTGAATTGAGGGAGCAGGCAGGTTGGTAGGGAGTCAGAAAGGTAGGAGGGTGCAAGGTCAGAAAGGTAGGAGGGTGCAAGGTCATGGATGGCCTTGAAAGTGAGGACAAGGATTTTGAATTCGATCCTCTGAGGGATGGGGAGCCAGTGGAGTCTGGTGAGGGGGGAGTGATGGGGTCATGGAGCCTGGTGCGCAAGAGTACACGAGCTGCAGAGTTTTGGATGAGTTGGGAATGCTGATGAGGAGGGAGTTTCCATAATCGAGCCTTGATGTGATGAATGCATGGATAAGGGTTTCGTCAGCCTGAGGGGTGAGGCAGTGGCGGAGTCTGACAATGTTGCAGAGGTGGTGGTAGGCAGTGCCAGTCATGGCGCGGATGTGGGGAGAAAGGACAGTTCAGGGTCAAACAAGACACCCAGGTTCCTGACTGGCTAAGTGAGGTTGAGTGTGCAGTCGTTTCTCAAGGACCTTAGACAGAAAAGGGAGATGGGCTTGTAGCTGGATCGCTGTGATGGGTGAAGGGAAGGTTTCTTCAATGTGAGGGTGATAGTGGCTGCTATAATAATAATCATATAATGCAAATCCCAATTGCTCCGTTTACCACCACTGAAATCTCTCATCTCAAACTTCAAAGGAAAACTTAAAGTGCACCACATATTATACAAGACTAACATATCAACCCTGAAACCATCATGTGACGTCTCTTTGCAAGCGAGAGACCTGAGTTCAATTCCAGGCAGGGCGAAACCTTGGGCAAGTTTCCTTACTCCACGCGCCTAATAATAATCCCTCCAAAATCAAAAACAATAATAAATTGGTCATTTTCAATCTACGACTGTTTGTGGGACATTGATGTGCGCAATTGGCTGCTGCATTCGCCCACAAATATACAGTCAATTCACTTTACAGTGTGTTCTGTCAAACGCTTTGGGACGTCCTCCCAACGTGAAAAGCGCTATATCAAATGCAAGGATTATTATTATTATTATAAAGTAACTGCACTGGTCTTTCACCAGGGATTTCACTTTAAATCCAGCCCAGATTAATGGATTGAAAGTTTCCTTTGCCTGTTGCCCGTTACGCACCTATGCCAATTGACATTGTGCAGTCTCTCAAACCTAGTTCCAGTGTGTTTGGGCTCACAGCATAAAACTGGCCTTAATTTGCCATCAATCTTGTTCAGAGAGACCACATGGGTGGTGTGGGATTTGGAAAATATCACATCGGATGCAGTTGGGTTACTCTTGGGGCTGGTTGGGCCTG